TAAATGATGCGCTAGATCAACGAGCGCGGCCTTCAAGTTATGGGTGATCGGCCTGCAGGTTGGGCTTACGAGACAATGTTATGGTGTTTAATCTATGCATTTTAATATGTAGTTGCTCATTGTTTTCCAAGATTTCTGTTTTATTGTTAAGTTATGTAACTTCAACTTGCACAAGACAAATCTTTTGCTGTGATCTTCTATCTATGTAGGTCAACAGTTGCCAGTGCCCGTCCGGATACCTCTGTCCAGTATTCGTGCACAGACAAGGCCTCTCGGAAATATTGTCCCTGCCAACGTAAGTGATGTATTTTAAGGAAATGAGATTCCGTCAACCTTTGTTTTTGTACCGTCTGTAAGGAGCCAGCATTCTCAGTAGGTAGTTTTTCCGACGTCCCTTAGCTCTCACTTCACAATCCTTTTATAGACAAACACTGGGATTGTTTTGAAGACATAAGGGGGATCCTGACTACTAATTTATATGCAGACCAGTGTCGTCTTTACATTTGATGCTCACATTAAGTGGTACCTATTATGTGTTGTCCCATCTAGCACTAACTATTCTGTAAGTTCAGATTTGATACGATCAAGTAATCGAAAACTTGTAGATTCATAGATTTTTATACATTCGGAACCGTGTTGCTGACCGTTGGCACTTCCTGGAAATGGTCCCGGAAATTCTGTCTCGCGACCACACATTACCAAATTTCTTAGTCGATAACCTAAAGTAACGTTTTATTTTCTCAGCAAAGTAGGAACATGAATGCTTTACCACGCTGCATATTTGGCTTGTATGAAAGCGAAACTAGAACAACCTTGTAAATAGGAACAATGCCATACGCAATTTATGAGCCTAATGTGTCTTCGTTTTGACTCGTTGCTAAAACGTACAGTGGTAATTAAACGTGTCAATCTTGACTTAAGATGTGTTGGAGTGACCTCGATACTTGTGGATGGTATTAAACATGAAGGATTATGTTTGTTTCATTTACGCAATGTATTTACTAATTTGAAATCTAATATAAACTTCAGACAAATGCGTCGTAGTTATCGCTTTTATTTTTTAACCGATATCTGGGATGAGGGTACAGTTGTCTGTTACGAAGCTCTAGGGAGTGAACTATTAGAAAGGGATAGTGATAACATAGTCCTCTGATAGGTATCAACATCAGTACCACAACTGTCTCATTTCTGAGTTCAGAGCTAATGGTCCAATGATTTGATAGTTATGGTAAATTCTATGGAGATAAAAATCCAGAGTGTATTTGACTTGATATCCCACAAAGGTCTTTCTCGCATCGCATTTTAGGAGTAATGAATCTTAAGATGCTCGAACACTGAAATTCCCGAAATCTCCCAAAGTAATGTCTTTAGTACAAAAGGAGAACTAGCTGGCCCCGATACCTAATTTCAAGGCTTCCCAGGTTTAGATTATGTAGACTTGCGAAATTGCAGATCATTACTTGAACGTTCACTAAGTACTTCTGCGAAGGAGCTACTATCACTATCGTGTTCTGTTCATTTAGAAGAAAACTAGTACGAATCCGAAAGGACGCTTGCAGTATGCTTTCATTTGCATCCTGATTACACAACAACCTCAACTTGAACGTTATTAGGTGACAATTCCTCATGGCATTTCATGATTATATATATAGCTGGGCAGGTTGCTGATTTTTCTTGCTACAACAGCTTGATTAAGCAGGATGTTATTTTATAAACCCCCATGAAATGATATTGGGTTATTAATCATCAGTAAATTTTAACCACAAGGATTCGTAGACTGATATCCTATCCCTTAAAAACTGGTGGTCTTGTTTGGGGATAATTTAGGACTATTTCTCTACGTAACACAAGCTTTTTAATTGTTTAGTTAGGATGTTGGTCAACTAAACATTTTATGGAAAGCAAACAGCTACAAACCTCCGATGTTAGTTCGAAGGGTTCCTCAGTTTCGGGACCCCTCATTTAATCTGCGGTTTCCTAGTACTTATAATTGTAAGGCATCTGATGTAAAAGTTGTAATAGCTCAACGGTTATCGAAAAAATATTTCTGTGCCTCAATAAGAAAAGTGCTTTGGTTCTTAGATTTCAGGGTTCGGACTCATCACATCCTGTTCTAGATATTTTAGCAGTATTTAGTTCGTAGCATGATTCTTCCTACTGCTTTGATCGGTAAGACTATAATTTATGGACGACATTTGAGCAACACTAAAATGACTTAGGAATGTTCGCCTACTTACCAGGGTTAAATGAAAGTTATATATTAGTGTGAGGAATTAGCATTGTGATTTAGTTGAATGTTAAGATTGGGAATTAGATTTAGTGTTCTCATGATGTAATGACATCAGCCATAATGTCAAAATGGTATTTAACCAAATGAGTAAATGAATTTCTCGCCAAATCCAAGACCTGCTATCTTAAATGTGATTGATTCGTCCATAACTTATAGTCTACTTCTTTGATCAAATTAAACTAAGGATAAGCAAAAATGTAGATAAAATATATTCTTTGATTCCTCTGGGTTAGGAGGTGGCAAACATATCCGGTTGTAGGTAGTTGGTATGTTTTGCGACTGGGTTTTCGATAAGTTTTCAGCAGTCTGTCGTCATCATGATTGATGGTACACCAGTAACACTTAAGCTATGTTTTGAGTTGAAGCAATAAGGATTGAATGAAATTTTATTGCTTATGTGTACTTGATATTGCTAGGTAATGCAAAGTATATTCAGATCTTTTTAGTGCCGATCAATAAAGTGCTGAGCATCCGTATATTATCACTAAACCATCAGTGCTAATGGGATACTACAGGAGTTTGTAATTCATTGTGTCGTATGATTGTAATCTCATTAGATTCTCAACCTTGTTTCACTTATTATTTTCGAGGCCAATCCGTTATTGTGCGCTTAGAGGAATCCTTACCACAGTTGCAGTGTTAAAGACAATAAAAGCATAAAATCGAATTTCCCTGAGTAAAAATCATATGCTTTTTCATAATTATCTGTGGACTATGTGGTACATAACGATGTCCTTTGATTGCGTTAAATTAGTGCGAGACTCAACATAGTAAGTTATCGGTTACAATCACTGAAGATCACGAAGGAAATTCACAAATATTTGTACATATGATCAAATAAAAAGAAACAATTCAACCCAACCAGTCTTCCTTGTAACTGATGAATTAATTATTACCTATCCCATTACAACTGATTTTTCCTAATTCATCGACGCAACTGCTAGCCTACTTCCCTACAATCCAGCTTCTATGTAGTCGTCGGTTAGATACTTGATGAATTTGGGGTTCGCTTCCCCCCTTAATCATAATCATTATACCTTAGTACGCGGAACAAGATAACATAAGAAGTTCGAAAGACTCAGGTGATCCGATGTATTAAGACTCAGCCAACCTGATCTTAATATCGCTTACTTAGATGTTAGTACTTAAGAATAAACAAATTTACTCACTTTTCTGAATTGAAATATAGTGCAGTAGCTGAATAAAGACTCATAATTAAGATAGCTATGAATATTTTATTGTTCCTCAGAACACGAGACAAAACGTCTTGGAGATTTTTAAATTCATGCATCGACCTTAGTTGCTATAATTTATTCACAGGACAAGCAATTCAATAAAAGCATTAAGATCAATGGACGACGTATTTTTTTACTGAATTGTAGCATATTTTAATTAGGTTTACCAACTTTCGATATTTGGACACTACGACTTAGTAACCAAGCCCATATCTGTGTAATTGACTTCGACCCACTTTTTGTATCATGGCTAGCGATGTCACTTCATTGCTCAAAGTTGATGGAGTCTGGAAAATGAGACTGATTAGTAGCTGTTTCATTCGACAACTAAGTCCCTTTGAGTATTACAGGTACAAATTGAGTTAATCAACTGAAGTATGTTAACAGCTTGGTAACTCGCTAGTAGGAAATAAGATTAGTGTCAGTGACAGTTGTTGCTTTTCATGTGCCAGCGTATTTCTATTTGTTGACCTTCATCTTCCCAGAGGCCAGATGACTTTGAACAAGTTAACAAATGCTGTTCTTCCGTAACAACTCATGAGGTTACTTTTTTGATATTGTTGTCCACACATTGTGTGACCTTCCCATATCAATATGTAGAAAGGATAGTTATATCCCACTATTTTCTCTAAAAATTCCATTTAAATTTGAAAAATAACTTTTCATACATAGTTTAATCCCGGTGGTACATTTCTATAAGACTTCCTTGCATAATTTTATCTTAAAAGGTCCCTCGACCACCCATGGTTAACCAGGTGTACTTGCTTCCTAAATCTGGGATAACTAATAATGTCCTTCCAAGTGCTCCGAGTGTGATGCAAGTTAGGAGTTTGGCGGTTGGACAAACTGTACTCCAACCAAACGGTGTACTTGCTACCACTCCTGTTATGCCAAGTAAGTTCCATTTTAATTATGTATATGGGTCAGCTTTACATATGACTATCGAAGCACTTGAAATATTCATTTCATCTGGTTAAAATTCGAAACCTTTGTTGTCATTTTTGGAAATTTATTAGCAGCTCAGAGTTTTTTTTATAACTTGAGTTCTCACTTCCATGTAGGATATAAAGGAAATCTAAACCAGAAACTAATGTCTTCTCTTCTGAACCACATTTGATAACTTATCAATCCACTAAGTTACACCACTCATAGGACCCTAACTGACGATTCATAATGAATCGACAGATAGCATTTCTAGCCACGCTTTACAACAATAACGTAATTACAAACAAACCATTATGCAGTAAACTTTCCTTGCACCTAATAGAGAGACGAACACTCCACATGAGATAAAAATGAAGTCGATGAAACCCAAACAAACTTGTCAGGAAGTTGGCCCAATCAAGACATCGGTTCATGAAACTATTTACCTCTGACGAGTCATTCAATAAAGGGTAGACTTATTACTTGGAGCCCTCACAAAATAATCATATCCCCGTTGTTAAAGACCTTAGAGAACTTGATGCTAAACCTCAGGCAGTGACCCAGATGTATTCTAACGATTCAGTTGGCCTTGCAGTTTAAACCCAAACCTCAAGAGATGACATTTTTGAGCTTTCATTTTCAAATTTAGATTGTCAGTTATTCGTTTTTTAAATGTACCCTGGTGACCATAATTATATAAGGCATTAGTGATGTGGAATTTTCAGGACCAAGTAATCCCATATCTGGTAAATACCTTCCTCATGCAGTTGGTGGTATGTGACAATGGGGTCAGTCAGTCAGTAGGACCATGCACATACATGCATCGGTCCAAGTTGCCACACCTCATTAGCACAACAAGATGAACACCAAATTCATAGAAGTAGTTACGTCAGTGGTAGTAATATACAAAAGAAGGATTTCGTACAACGATATAATACAGGAAGAAAGAATTAGAAAGAAAGGTATAAAGTAATTTGAATCTCACGGTTTAAGAGCAGACAAAGAGTGTATACACTCACGCCATTGTGATCGATTCTCAGCCATGTCACACAGAATCTCCAACCATTGTTTACGATATTCAAGCGAACCACAACCAAGTAGTCTGTATCTAATGATATGGCTCGAACCAAAAGTCAGTGACCTCAAGCACTGATGCCACGCTTTGGTTTGGCCAACCCTAACTTTCTTCCAACCATCCCCAACACTAGTCAGCATTGCACGTCGTGGTAATCGGTATTCAGGCATACGTAACACGTGGCCCAACCATCTCAGTTGATGAAGATTCACAACCTCATCAACTGATTTACCATCATTTCCTAATACCCTGCGTCTAACATGACTATTACTTACCCGGTGATCCCAACAGATGAGAGCAGTATTTCTAAGGCATCTGTGGTCAAATACTTGTAGCTTACGAGTGTCTTCTACTCTTAATGGTGACGTTTTGCAAACGTCAAATAAAAGAGAACGAACTGTTGTGCACTATACTCGTCCTTTAATTGATAAACGGATATCTTGCTTTCGTCATAGGTGACGTAAGTTGTCAAAAGCCAAACGAGCCTTTTGAATCCATGCAAAGATTTCACCAGACACCAACCTATTAGGGCTGATCAGACTTCCAAGATAAGTGAAGTTTCAACAGTTGAGATCATGAGTCAAAGCATCCCACTGCTTCACTCCCTATTCTTAGTTCGGGTATTGACGCAGGCCAACGGAATGAGGATGTAAAACTCACCCCTTTTAGTCATAACACCTAGCTGACTAGTGTGGAACATTGGGACCCCTAGGGACAAGTTATTATGAAGTTGGAAGCTTCAAATAAGTGGCCAAATCCTTTATTCCAATGTTTTCAGTTTGTTTGACCGCTTAAAAACTTTTTCAAGAGGTATTTTCTGATATTTATTTTTATGATCAGGAGTTGTCACATCTCAGTCGGGTTCCTCAACTAAATTGGTGGGATTTTTTAACCAATTGTTAGAACTATCAAAGAATGTCTCAGCTAGCACTCATAGCTCAGTAGCAACGCTAATACAAGCATTAGTGGTGAGTTTTTAACTAAATAAATTCTAAAGTCACTTTACCTTAACATCATATTTTGTATATTTTACAATTCAGTGATCGTGAGCAGGTTTCGTTTCTAAACTGTGTAGCATGTAAATTGTATGAGGGTTAACAATGTTCTCCGAATCCCTAAACTACGGTAGCTGGAGTAAGATTTAAACCTGTAATCTGCATATCTGTCGTTGCATTCCGTTCCGAGGTTCTACATACTTCAGCGAGAGATTTTTTGTCTTAGAATCACACGTGCTCATTAGCTATGCTAGACATATTCAAATTGAAATAGCTTTTATAACCCTAAATATTTATAATGTCCTTTCTTTAGATATTAACATAGTGATCTATTATTTAACGTTCAAATATCCCTTACATTACACTGTTTTGACAAGCGAAATGTAACTCATCGACTTCAGATACTCCATTTTGAACTACATTGGGTAGTAGGGCTATTTCAACTATCCGGTTACCTTAATCAAAATAGGTAAACCTACAATTTAGTAACCGGAAGTTAAATTTTTTTAAACAGTAGATCACTACTACCTTCAATCATTTAAGCAGTGATATTGTATTTTGATAAATATTCATTTATGATTCTGTATTCAGTTCCGTGGACGGACATCTCCGCTGTTTTATCAATCGATCTTTTCATTATTACTTTTGACTTCATGTGTCACAAGTTTTTACCATTCACTTTGTTTATATAGAATGGAGAACTTGATGCCAGTTCGTTCAGTGCACAACTACGTAGCAATCTTAAAAGTGCCAATCCTGGTATGGACCTCGCCCCATTCATAAAGGACAACATAGATTTACTTAGGAGAGATCTAGCTAATGGTGTCTGTCGTCTCCCAAACATACAACCTCCCCCAAAAGACATCTTCACAGGTGTACCCACTGCAGTCCCTGTTTCGATCGTAACAACATTACCTACCGTAGGTCTTCAGCCCCGTCCTAATGCTGCGGTTTCTACAACACTAGTTTCTTCAACAGTACCCGTTGGCCCTCGCATTACTCTACCGACGAATACAACTCCTCGCATAGTAGGCACACTCATGTCATCAGTTTCGTCACCAGTTATTCCAACTAGTCCTGTTACTGTTCCAACACCCCGAACACAACCCCCACTATTGGCTCCTGCTCCTCCCCGGACATGTATTACGTCTGTCGTAAACTTTGATGCAGCTTCAAGTTCTAACACCGGTACGAAATATCGTTTGGCTCAATCTTTTAGTGGTGTTTCATCTTCAACGTCTGTCGTATCTAATGCAACCGCCGCAACAGTGGTTTCGACACGTTTCACACCGACTATTAACGGTACGCGTCCGAACTACCAAAATTTGCGACCAATTATTGCTTCGTCCACTTCCACAGCATTGGGTATCAACTTAGCGTCGATAAAATCAGTTGCTGGTGTTTCTGCATCCGTACCCCCTGTAATTCGTGCTAAATCTGGATATGCTAACACTTATTCTCCTGGAATTCTACCCGCTGTTCACAACAAAGTAGGCTCCAATGTCCTATCCTTGAATGGATCTACGGTATTAATAGAAGGTGTGGACCGAAAACAGAATGACCTCTCGTTTTTGAGCGACGATATTCGTCACCCCGCTATGTCACCTACACGTGACAATCCATTTTTCCCATCAGAAAAAGTTAAGGAAATATTAGAAACTCATGGCATAAAAACATTAACAGAAGAATCTATCGCGTGTCTCGCTCACGGTTTGCAAATATTCATCAAAAATATTTTATCAAAGTTGAGGATTGTAGTATCACATCGACTCGATCGTTTAGGAGAGGATTCTCGTTTGGTTCAAATAGATCACACGCGTGAACAGTTGAGGTTTCTTCAGAAGTTGGATGAGCATGACCGAATGAGGCAATCGGAGTTAGAAAAGGATCTAATTTTGAAGGCTGCAAAAGTAAGTTTCGAAGTACATATCTTAGAAATATCTTGTAAGGTAATCTTATTTAACTTCATTTACTTGCCGAATACTGACTTGTTTTTGCAAATTATAGGTGTCTTGTAGACAAGTCCCTTGTAGCGTAACGTCAGCTAATATTGGTAAAATGAATTGTGCAGGAGTCTCTATTTTACGCTTTTCGTCCTCATTGGTTAATTTAATGTTTTCACCTTTCAAAACATAAAATAAATCACTATTTTTTGCACTTTTCCATTTTTAGTCACGTTCTCGAAATGAAGATCCTCATCAAATGCAGATGAGGGAAATGGCTCGACGGATAGCGTCTGAAGATTATGAACGTGAAAAGCAACATCAAGCCAATCTTACAGCTCTTCACGCTATCGGCCCACAACGCAAGCGTCGTCTAGATACTTTAGATGAAATGGGCAACTCCATTTCAACAGATATTTTGGGAGCCTCTCTTCCAACAAGAGATGGTGTGACAAATTTGGTGAGTGCCCTACCTGCTGCTACTGCTAATCGCCTTTCTATTGTCAGTGCCAGTCGACTAGGTTTGGTAACATCAGGACCAAATCTAACGCAACTCAATTTAGAAGCTTTGCCGGCAAATTCAAACTCATTGGTCTCCGGTGTCGGTGGGACTGGTGATAACATGCCAAATACATCTGGATTTTCATTAGCACTCAGTCTCAGGGCACATCGAGCAACTCTCAGAGATATGCAGGTCATACTTTCTCGTACACCAAGGCTTCGTCGTACACGTACTTACTATAGGACGTATTGGCGCTCTCAGCCTTAAGAGTCTTTTCTTTGTTTCTTATTTTTATTTTTGCATAGACTTGATTTCTGATTGTAATATGATTTAATTATTAGTTGGCTAATTTTCCTAAAACGTTCCCAACCTAACTTGTATCATAAAATCTTTGTACATTATGACTTTTCGCAGTAGCCTACTTCGCTAGGCATCTGGGGTTCTATGTATATATATTTACACACACACCGTAATATTGTATGAAATGTGATGTTAGTTCCAGATTCTTTTTCTCTACTAAATGTGAGATTTCTTGTATTTTTTCATAACGCATGTACATTTACCAATTCCATGTATACTTCGTTCGCTGTACATAATTTTCGACTATCCTATTCAGAAAATAATAAACCTGTTATTTCTTTAGTACTTCACAAACTTCATTCCGTTTTTAAAATTTATCATCATAAAAAAGTAGAAACACAACTGACAAACAACCAGCTTCACATCCTACACATAATCTGAGTATATCCAGTTTATTACTAACCAATATGTGGGAATAAAAGCAACTTATAAATCATAAATTATTTTACTGAAAAACGCAATATGTGGTCGGAGATTGAGTAAAATTATAAATAAGCAGAAGAAATTCTGCAAAAATTATTTAGTCTGTCATATAATATGCACTTGCGTAAAAGAATTACACTCAATAATAGAGAAAAGAAAGAAATGGTATCAGTTGTAATAACACTCCATATATCTTCAACATGAAGCTCTGGGTCCGGAAGTGCCTGATTATATATATAGCCAAACAGGGACAAGAGCCGTGATAAAAAGTTCCTATTGTGAAATATATATCGGTCCGGAAATATTGGACTAGTATTTGGAAAGCGCTCAGGTTCATTTATATCGAAAGCATAGTTCGGAGTTGAAGACCGGTATGTCCTGAAAATATAAAAAGAAATACCGAAAAATCATAAAATGAATGGTGCCAAAGTCCTGAATATAGCTGACCGTTAAAACGTCATACAAAATAATTTTCAATTAGAGGTAGTAGTCAGTATGTGGGGTTTCCGTTCGTCTGCAAACCCGTCTCATAGTGAACATGGTAGTCAGAGAATTAATGTGCGTTCCTCTTTTCTTATTTTTAATGACGATCGTCGGTACGTCTTAACCCACTTCACCTTAGTTTTCTTCTATACTATATTGACTTCGGTTGTCAGTAAGTTATAAAACGATGTCAAATTTGCGATAAGTTATTTCAGCTGTACACTGGTCTAGTGAATAGGTGTGTGTCTTTAAGCTGACGCATAGTCTTTAATCCAATCAAGTTACAACTATTCATGCTGAGAATATCGGTGTTGCACAAAGTGAAATTTAGGAGCATCTCATCCACTTCCAGGCCTATAGGAAAAAATATCAATGAGCACTAAGTAGTGGTAAGCTTTTCCTAAATGACTAAATATAGCTTCGTTATTACGCAATAAACTTTCAGCTAGACCTGAGAATCAGCTTTCAGTGCGACGAAAACATCGGCATCTGAGGATGCACTCAACATTCATATCAGCCAAAGTTGACGATCCTGCCACTAATTTACTCCACAATTTCTTACAAAAATATGAGAACAGTTGATGTGATACTAAATAATGGTCCGAACTGCCTACCAAAAAACTTGAACACTGTTAAACCAGACTAGCGGAATTTACCATGTTCTCTAGTTTTCGATTTTCTCTGAAAATACGAAATCAATACTAATGGATCTGCAGTGACGTTTTGTTACAAACTCACTTCACTCTGATCTAAACCCGTATACCTTGAAAGGTAGCTTATAATCAAAGCCATTCATTGCAATTCAAGGTACCAGGTTTTAAAACAAATGGAACATTAGATCAATTTGCGGACAAATATAGTTACTGGTGACCTCTTCTTGATTCATATGACCCATACCTATTTTATGATTAGATGATTACAAGCTAAATTTTATGATAATTCGAATGCGTATTGATATGCTATCCTCAAACACAATGTATACTTACCTTTAATCTTAAATGAGTCAAACCAAAACTCTATCACTCCCACCTGCGTCACTGCCCATAATAATTGTTTTCTCACTTACATGCTTCTGAATATTCAAGTTGGTGGGTGTTTGGTTAAATACAGGTTTTAAGTTGGATGTTCCTGGTTCCCCAACAATTCGAAACACATATACGCCTTCACTATCTGGACTTACTGTAGATCGTCTCCTAGATACTGACTTAGGATTGCTTCTGATTGCTCCCTTCAGAGAAGTCTTCAAGACAACGGGACTTTCAGACATAACAGGAATGACATGAGGATATATTGTATTGTCAATTTGCTTCGTTTGATATACTATCTTTAAAGGGTTTGAATTCATTCTATCTAAAGATCTGGATTCTCCGTTTGGATGAGATCGGGTGAAATTGGTCGTTTTACGAGATTTAATCAAATCTCGATTTAAACGATTGTCTCGAGTATTTGTTATTTTAACGTCGTAAAGTTTTCCATGAAATTGCTGAATACTGTCAGGTTTCGGTAGAATTATGGGTTGTGAAGTAAGGTCTGCACTACTTGTACTACATGTATCTTGATTATCATTTTCGAAAAGGCCCCACTTACTGAGACTTTTAACAAGTATCTTTGGATCAATGAAATATTCCCGTTCATATCTATCATCTAATTCGCTGCATACATGTTTTTGTTTTTCATACAACTTAGCTAGATTGGATGACTTCGAGATTTGTGTAGTTTCGAACTCTTCTTTAACAGTAATCTGTTTAATTTTAGCCCAGCTAAGATGTTCAGTAGATCGAATTAAAGGTGAACTCATTGATGTTTGAATAATTGATGGAGGATTAGAAATTGATGCATCGGAATTCCAACTATTTATTCGGACACTAGACTTTTTCTTCCTAGTTATAGCCACAAATTGATAATCACTTGGAAGACGGCAATGTAACGATGAGGAGCGATTGAGGTGTCTTGATGTAATTGTTTCATAAAAATGCGGTTCATTAATGATACTTGAAGATTCTGCATCTTTAACATCCTCAGGAGTAGCTAATGGTACTCCTTCAATTTTGGTGTATTTGCACGCGTCACTGTCAAGCCAATCTCCTGAGTCAGTTTCATAAGTACTATTTTCATAATCTGTTGTGACTCCATTGCATTCATATGGAGATTGAGTTAGTGGTTCTTCATATAAAACTTTGGATGGCAAGTCTACTGATTTGAGTTCTGCTGTGTTACATATCGGCCATACGTTTGCTGTAGAAATGATTGGGCTTTTAATAGGTTCTACAGCTTCAGAACAATCATCCAATGCACATATGAGCGTTCGTTCTTGGTTCCTTGAACCAATGAATCGTAAAGGATCAATTGTTAAAGGTTTAGGAGGTTCTAGACAGAAACGTTGTTTCGCAGCTAGCCGTGACTGATGAGATGGAGATGAAAATGGTGGAGGTATTTTAGACTGAATATTATTTAAATTGTCAGTACATAAAGAAGGATCACTTATACTCGCTTCCATTGGTTTTTGTGAATCAGAATGCACATTGGATTTGAGATTTTGAGGATCTGTCGGAGAAAGAGCAGCTGAAGATGCAGATGATCCAGTTGGTTTTAAAATCCATAAATCTGTATTTTCCTGATTCATTCTTTTGGTAGAATCACGTGCATCTATTTCAGGTGAATAAATCTTGTGGTCATATGAAAATGAGCATTGAGATTCTGACTCACTTGATCTATATGACAAAAATATATAAAAAGTGAGTTCAATTTAACTGTATATGCTTTAAAACGATTGCAAATATATCATGTTTTGTATTTGAAATTCTTGTATGCATTGCATTAGAGGAGTTTTTATATCAGTATCATATTGAGTACAATTTACTAAGGCATTATTTATCTCACAGTAATAAAATCAGGAAAAAGCCATTGACCATTAGAGTGCCCATGTGAATAGATTTGATACTTCATGTGAGTTTACACTTCTTATACTATAGGCCAGAAATATTATAGAACCTAGGAAAGTGATAAGAATTCTCTACAAATATGTCTAGAAATATCCTGACGATAAGATACCTTCAATTTCATTAAGTAACGGTTGTACAAGAAGCTTTTATACTTTTAATCTCTTGCTTTTGAGGAGATACTGGACTGTATGAATCGAAGGGTCCGGTATCAATCAGTCCTATTGCCTTATTAAAGGTCTTCAGAAAGTTGTCACTTAAAATGATAATGAAGTCGATCATTCTTTGTAAACTTAGATATCTTCTTTAATCAGTATCGAGTGTTCAACAGACCTGGTTCTGTCAAAGGAAAACTCAGATGGAAATTTGTGAATGTATGATTATGTATTTTACAGTTGTGACAGTTATGTATCAGGATTTTTCTGTTACATCTATTTCGGGAATGTGGAAAAATAACTAGTGGATCCACTTAATACTCTAGGTATTCTCGAAGTTGCTTCAGCCTTCATAACTAACGAAGTTTACGTAGATAGAAATTTTGATCAGTGCTGCTACGGGGTAGAAATAACCATATTAGATAATTTATTCTCTCGCTTGTTTAATTAGTGCAAATTCTTCAATCACTTGTTTTTTGTTTCCTTAAAATTGTATATAAAAAGTGATATATTTACTAAATAGTACATCTTCACATGGTGTTATCTGATACCCTACGGATCAGTGAGTTATGAGGTACCTAGGGAAAGGGAGTGGTTTTGTTTGTCTTGAATCGTGTTATCAGTGCAAATCCGTTCCCATTGTAGTGTCCGTTACTACGCCAAGCCCACATAACTTATTCTAGCTTCTGGACAGGCCAATTTATCCATTTTTCTTGAGTCACGTTTTGATCTTATCAATTATTCACTTATTAATTTGACTGCTTTTATGTAAGCCTATGTATGTGCATATCTTAGCCTACTCGCCACATGTCTGTAGCTTATTTCTGTGTGACTATAAATATTGATTAACGTTTGATCAAATGGAGTTGGCTCACACGCCTCCTCCATTGCACGCCATTTCACCTTGCTCTCTTCTCTTCACTTGGTCCCTCTGATTGTCTATCCAGATCAATGAGTGTACAAAATATATGTATTCAAACATCCATTTTCGTATTTGACTTATTTAATTCCGTTATTCACTAACGCGGATTAAGTTGATAATTATATACATTTCGACAGCAATCATCCATACGATAATAATGGAGTCAGATCTTGGGCCACTAAACTATTATTATATATTCGTCGACCTCGTCATATCATGGTTTAAATACACCACTATTGAGATCGATATCACTTAAGAACTCCAATTAATACTATATATTATATTTCTGATCCCAGTGAAAAAGTTATTCACACAACTCACATCAATCAATATTTATATTGAGACAGATGGTCACTCGGAAT